AAAAACATACATAAAAAAGCATTGAAAGAAGTAGCAAAATGAATTCTCTTCGACACGCTGAGTTATCAGATATTTCAATGGAAAATACTCATGGAAAAGTTGTTGACTGGTTATTGGAAAATAGTTTTCCATATTCAAAGCAGTTAAACCCAGGAACCGAAAAATTAAAGAACGAACCTATTAGAACACATCAGTTTATGAAAGAATTCACTTCATCAATGACAGATGCTTTCAAATTAGTATTCAAAGAAAATCAAATCCACAATGAATCTTTTAAGGTATCCTGCAGAGATGTTGTGGGGAAAGAATATCCTTATTTCTATGGCAGTGTTGAGTATTGCCCGATGTTCATTTCTCTATATCAACCATGCACTGAAATATGTGCTTACTGTGATGAAAAAAATTTGCTACGTTTACAAAGAGCCCTGAGAAATGAAGCTTTAAATACAGTGAAGACACTATTTTTTATCTCTCCAGATAATCTCAATGACATACTCAAGACGTTAGAGGCTAGATTTGGACGACATAAATATATACTGGAATCCATGATGAACAAAGTGAAATTATTCCCACCCGTGAACACTCGTTCTCCAATATCCTTTATGAAATTTACCAATTCGGTTCTTAACCTTACTGTCACTGCGAAATCTTTGAAAATGAAAACATTTATAAACAATAGCCAACTCTTTAGTCAACTCATTCAGTTGCAATGGACAAGAATTATTGTCAAGAAATACAAAGACATACATACACCATCGTTGAAAGAGTTTTCAGAGTGGTTACAAGAAGAATCTTCAGTAGCTTGTTTGTTATGTAAACCTTCTATTTCACATTCTCCACCAACAGTCTCGTATATGGAGAATAAAAATAAAACGTTTTTTTATTGAAATAGAAAATGCATCAATGGAAAAGTGTTGCCGATTTTGCTCTAAATCTACTCATTCCATATACANGAATATTTAAATTTTTCCCTAAAATATTCTGTTTCCTTCATGTCCAATTATCAATTGGACAAAGTAAAAATCTCAGATTTTTTGAATAACTATCTGCAAAATGTTCTTGATGCCCCGTTTTATGTTACTATGATTGGTTTTTTCTGGGCACTGAACGCTTTTTGATGATATGAAAAAGTCCCCAAAAATCAATATTTCAATACCTATTGTATCATACTACGTACACAAGGACGTAGTATGAGTGTATTCTAAAATCCTGTTTCTTCAATATTTCCAGATATAAAACAATGGGTACTTAATTTTCAAGATATCTAGTTGACATAAGCTTTCCAAACTAAGCTTATGGTCTAAATTTATTCCTAAAAATTTTACGGTTTCGATATTTTTGATGGATTTTTTCATTAGCATGTAAATATGGATTATAACCAGGTTTCACTTTGCATGAAGTAGGTTTTTTCATTACAATATTTAAGGAATCCACTGCAAGTATTGCAGTTTTTCACAAGTTGGTCGAGTTGATTAGGTATCTGATATAATAATAGCGTACTGTATAATTCGATGCCTTGCCAAAAATGAAGAATAAGAGAATTATCCCTGTGATAATTCCATTTGTTTGCAGGGGATTGTTTTATCTTGATCAATTTTTAATACTTGTGTACGGTTACTTGATTAAGACTCTATCCATTTGTGTAGTTCAATAAAATCTGTTCCGTTAATCAGCTGTCGCTCCCTATGAACGACAACTCTCTAAAGCCAAAACTTGTGTGAGCTAAGGACTAACGAGGTCTTACCTTTTCACGTATAATTCCTAATACGGGTTGGACGATAGGAAGTGAAAATCGATCGTTCGGCTTTGTGGTTCGAACCTCCGGTTTGCACAGCGGTCGATTGACTGAGTGGAGCTGACAACCCACGTCAACCCACACCCTTTAATTTGAGAAGCGAGAGATTGTGATCCACAGTATCGAATGCACGACTAGGTGTTTTAATTGTCATCGAGGGAGTTATCAACAACAAACAATCTTCAACTGCTGTATTTTTTTCCCCCGGAAACTATTCTAAATTGACTGTAATAATTGACATATTCAAAGATTTTTGGGATATGGCTAAGTATGTTAATCAATCGATAGTTTTTCAAATCACTAGATAACCGTTCATTTTTATACACAGAAAATCCTTTGGATTTCTTTATGTCCTATATTGAAAGTTTTCCAATGATGTCATCCGTAATTTCAAATGGTTAGCAAGTAGTTTTGTTGATGATGGAAAGTATCCCTCCAGGAGTTGTTGAAAATAAATAAAATTTTATATGTGATTTTTCTATTTCATGATGATTAGTTGAAAAACTACCGAGTGATTCAAACAGAAAGATTTATGTGTATAATTCATCGATAATGTGGCAATTAGAAAGTTATTCAGATGGATACGATATTTTTTTCTCATCAAATGAATACATTAGTTGCTTCAAGCATTTTGTGCACATTATAAATGCTTTTTTTCTACACCCCTACTCTAACAATTCACTTATATGACCATAATACGTTTCATAATGATATCCATTATGATACAGATTTTTCATAACGATACAGATTATCAACCAATAGAAACCCATAATTTTTCAATCAAGAATCCTGTTCCTTTGTTTGTCCTAGATTCTAACCTAAGTAACTAATTGCTTTATTTGTCAAAATCAGTTTTCATATTACCTACCTATATTATCAAAATGTCTGAAAACAGCGATATAGAAGGAATACCATCGACTCCAATATTTTTAAAAGATCAGATTAATTACAGTTGTTATATTCAATATAAATATAATTAGAATCTTTATAGTTTTCATATATCCATGATAATACCATTAAGTTTGTGTTTTTTT